AGCATCCTGCGTCACTCAAAACGCAGATTAAAACATAAACACATATTAAGTATTTTTATCATTAAAATACGAGATTCAACACAAATAACTCTTTATAGTCGATCTTATATTATCATTTTAATTCTTTTGCCACCCACTAAGCTTTATGTTTCTTCATCTATCCTTTTGCATATGTCTTTGTTGTAAATATCCATTTGACTCCAATCACCTAATGCCCTTTGTGAAGAGTAGTAAGTTGTCATGTATTATTTTTATTAATAGTATGCATCTATTCATTCATAGAATTTCTTTATTTTTCTTCTTTATAAGCCTCTTCAGAGGTTACATCATATATCTCTTGCAAGTTAATGAATCATAATATATAGAAAGATAAAATAAAAAAACAATCATTATTATATCAATTCTTCTAATCACATCATATATCTCTTAAGTCACTTTTGTTTCTCTTGTAATTGGACTAGTTGAATCATATGTTGTGACTTATATTCTGATTTGTCTTGGTGATTACTCGTAAGAAATAACTTTTCCATTTGCAAATATATTTTGGTGGTTCTTTGTTGTTCCAACTATATATATGACTTTCATCATATTCAATATCTTTTCGTACCATAACTTTCTTAATAATAAGATTATATAAATTTTAGTTACTACAATTCTCACCATAATCTAATAAAATACACTTTTGACCTTTGTCTTTAACTATTTCGTCTACACAGTATATTCAAAGATTCTTCAATGGTCAATTCTTGGCTCCTACATGTTCTATAACTCTTTTGGAATAACATTACTAATTAACTGTCCGAGCAATAATATCTCCCCAAAAAATTTTTAGAAGTATTTTTTTAAAACATACTTTGAACTAAATGAATAATAGTCTTATTTTTTCTTTTAGAAACTCTATTATGTAGAGGTGTATATAACATGGTGCGTTAATGTATAATTCTATTTTTATTATAATAAATTTTTAATTCATCTGACATGTATTCGCCTCCTCTATTTGTTCTCGAGTATTTTAGCTTAATAGCCACTTTGTATTTCAATCAAGTTCTTAAACTTTTTAAATTTACTAAATAATTATTTTTAATAAATAAACCTATGTTTTGCCATTATAATCATCTATTAATTATTTAGGAGTCTTTGGTCTCTAAGCATAGAAACTTTATAATGTAGATGTGTATAAAGCATGATGCATTGATGTATAATTTTATTTTTATTATAATAAATTTTAAATTCAGCTGACATATATTTGTCACCCTTATCTGTTCTCAAGCATTTTAGCTTATAGACAATTTATGTTTTAATCAAGCTCTTAACCTTTTTAAATTTACTAATTATTTTTTAATGAATAAACCTATGTTTTATCAATATAATCATTTGTTAAGGAAATAAAATACTTATTTCCACCACTTAATGTAGGAATGATAGGACCGCATATATCTGATTGCACCGAGTCAAGCCATTGCCTTACTCTTCTTATTCGTATCATCTTGAATGATCTCCTCTATTGCTTGTTAATGATGCATATTTCACAAAATCTTAGTTAGATGCTCAATATTCGACAAGCCTATCACTATCTTATTCTTCTCTAAAAGTTTGAAAAAGAAATTAAAGTTATCATATCTAAGATGTCATAGTATAAAATTATTCATAATACTAATATGTAAATAATTTATTATGTTAGTGCCCAATTGTAGAAAAAATATTTTATTCTTAGTCATTTTTATATTAGAGATTAAAATTTTATTCTTATCATAAATTAAAAAAGATATATATTTTTTTCAATATCATATCTTTTTTAAGTAACTATAAAATGATGTTGCCCTTCATATCAGAAATATTATAAACATCTGAAACAGATACTTGTTTTCCATTATTGAGCTCAAGAAAAAAATTACCTTTTTCTCTTGCCACAGTATTTGTGACAAATATCAAAAATAATATTATCAAAATAATTCATATCATAATAGTTACTCATGTGATTAGAAGCCCTAGTGTATAGATACTGTCATAAATTAGTTAATCTTTCATGTTATTGTTAGACATTAATAGAATAAAATTATTATTCTTTTCTTCTGTATTTGTCAAATCTATATTCTAACTTTATTGTTGGGATTATAATAACATTCTTCAGTAGTGGCCAAACTTCTTACGGATATAATATTGAATATGAGATTTATCATATCTCCTATTTCTATCTCATCCACACCCTTGATCTCGACATTGCTATTGGTCACTTTGGATTGTATTGCCTCCTTTAGTTTGGTTGTTTTGTGCTTCTTGAATAGGTTGACCTCTTCCCCTTTTCCTCGTTACCCATAACATTTATCTTCTTAAGACTTTGGTTCTTTTTTGTTTTAAAGAATAAGTTTAGTTTGTATAGCTTACTTACTCTAGTGACTTATCTTTCATTGTAAGCCTTGGTATACTTAAAGAGAACCCATTAATTATTTTAAATATATGTATTCTTAATCTTTGGATTTTTTAGTTGTTATGATAATAAAATCAAACTTGGGATCGAAAGATCTTAAAATTTTCTCCATTACTCTTTGGTTATTTATTTCTTCACCAATTCTTGTCATTTGGTAAATAATAAAAATAACTTAAGAGAGATAATCGAAGATAGATTCTGAGATACCTTTTCATACTTTTTCGAATTCACCTCTAAAGCTTGTAGGTGTATCTTTTACATCTTGTCCACGCCACTAAATGCTCTTTATAGAGTGTCCCATTGCTTTGATGTTCTTAATAAAATAATAATATCTAATGTTGCTTCATCAAGGCCTTAGTATACCATGAACAAGGTCTTGTGATTTCTTTTTCTATTAGTCTTTCAGTTATTTTATTGCTTCTCTGTCCATTTGTGCTTCTTCCTCTACACTTTGGTTCAATAAAACTATCTTTTACAAACACTCATACGTCTAGAATACCTAGAAGTATTATGCATCATAAATTATAGTTTATCTTTGTTAATCAGGAGGAAACTGCGAGAGTAGAACAAGATAAATTTTGATAGAAATGAGATTTCTCTCAAATATATTCTCTAAAAATTTGTTATAATTCACTTATTTTCAACTTATCAAGAGGGATAACAACATGATTTTATATAAATCAAGGAAAGACTCTCAATATAACATGCTATATTTAATCTCCGAGGAGAAAAACTCTAAATTAGATGAATATCAAATTTTAATTTAATTTATTTATTACATGAACTTATTGTTGTGAATGTAAATAAATTGAATACTCTAATTTGAAGGCTTCTCACATTGCTTTAGGAGATTAGGTTCTCGAGATTTGGACAAATGCGGTCAGTAAATTACTTTCTCTCATAACTCTAGCTGGTGCTGGCAATTGCTTTATGAAACCATGATGATTTTATTCTAATTGTTGTTAACAGTCGTCAGATTAATGTGATGCAGGACAGGTAGCTTTTTGATGTCCTGCTTTCTCCCTAACATATCTTTTAGAATCTTTTTATAATTCATGAACAGTCGAAGGTTTCTAATATTCTAATGCAACGCGCAATAGAATAACTATGATGTCGCTCCTTTTTGCGATGAGAAATGGATATAAAATGATGATGTGAAAAGGACAAATATCAACCAAATTAACTTATTAATTTATGATATCTAAGGATCAACTTAGTTCGGGAGATAATTTATTTTGACCTAAGTTTTGAAAAAAATTTACTACGTCGATAACTCTTACTTTTGGGTGGAAACTATTGCATGAAATATTATTGCCTACTTCTCTTCGGTTACTTCAATTAGGTTTTGGACATCCTTATGGGTCGATCTATAATATATCTTTTTTAATTATCCTTTTACTAGGAATATTTATGATTTTTGAAAATGCAAAAAGATAAATATTTGTTGTTACAAATTTTGATATGGAATTGGTATATCTCTCTATATGTTAAATATTAGATCTTTCGTTCTATTCCTACCATCCATGCTATAAAAATATAAAACATCCAAAATA